TTAAGCCAGAATCCTGGCCTTATTCTTGTTTTTAATGGAAATACCTGTAACAATATATCCTTAGAATACGAGAAAGTAATCTCTTTTGGAGGGAGGGGGCATGGAGTCTTGCTCTGTTGCCCAGGCTGGAGTGCAGTGGCACAATCTTGGCTCACTGCAACCTCCTCCTCCCGGGTTTAAGCAATTTCCTGCCTCAGCCTCCTGAGTAGCTGGGATTATAAGCACATGCCACCACACTCGGCTAATTTTTGTATTTTTAGAAGAGATGGAGTTTCACCATCTTGGTCAAGCTGGTCTTGAATTTCTGACCTTGTGATCCACCCACCTCGGCCTCCCCAAGTGCTGGGATTACAGTTGTGAGCCACCACGCCAGGCCAAGGAAGTGATTTTTAAATGAAGTTGACAAACTTGACAGAGATTTCACAAATAGTTCAAGACCTATGTATATATGCCTGCACACATGCGGTTCAACATAGGAATTTTAAATGTTTTATAAAGGAATTTGACATCAGACATGTAGAGAGACTGTGGATCCACTGAAAATGGATGAGCAAACTGAAGTGGGGTGTACTAGTTTCCTCCAGCTGCTGTAACAAATTGTCACGAATTGAATGGCTTAAAACAGAAATTTCGTGATCTTACATTTTTAGAAGCCAGGAGTAAAAAACGACGGTGTTTGTGGAGCCACACCTCTTTGGGAGGCTCTCAGATAGTTCTTCGTCACTTCTAGATTCTGGTGGCTGTCAGTGTTTGTTAATTTGTAGATGTATCATCCCAGTCTCCGCCTCCCTGTCCACACTGCCATCTCCTCTTCTATGTTATCTACCTCACCTTTTCTAACACGGACATTTATAATGGCATTTAAGGCACAATCAGAAAATCTTCTATAATCTCCTCATCTCAAAATTCTTAACTGAACCATATCTGTTACCATGTACAATAGTAGTCAATCTTCTGCCATATAAAGTAATATTTACAAGTTCTGGGGATAGGCTATAGATGTATCTCTTTGGAGACTACCACTCAACCCCACCACATGAGAAGTGAGTTATTGGTAAAACCTGATACATTTTTTTCCTAGTGGCAGAAAAGAGTAGAACACTTATGTTTCAGACTGCTTAGGGCGGTTATAACAAAATACCACAGGGTGGATGGTTCAAACAACAGTCATTGATTTTTCAGAGTCCTGGAGGTTAGAAGTCCAAGATGAAGACGCCAGAAAGTAGATTCCATTCTGAGGTCTCTTCTCCTGGCTCATAGGTGGCAGCCTTCTCACTGTGTGCTCACAGCACTTCTTCATGTGTTCAAGGAGAAAGACATCTCTCTCTTCTTTCTGCTTCTCATAAAGTCACCAGTCTGATTGAATTAGGATCCTACTTATGACCTCATTTAGCCTAAATCACCACCCACAGGCCTTATCTCAAATTATAGTCATGTTGAAAATTAGAGTTTCAAAATATAAATTTAGGGTGGTAGTAATTTGGTCCATACCACCTCAGAAATTTTGTAAGTCTACTGTGATCTCTCTTTAGTAAATGTTTAATTACATAAAACAAAGCACCCATTTTCTTTAACAGTGGGATACAACTGGTAATGTCATTTGAAGAATAATCCTGAAATGACATAATAAATCGATCCATTTACTTGATAATTTGAAGTCTCAGTTTTATCAAGAGAAAGGGGAGGAGAAATATGTATACCTTATATGGTTGATGGTCTAAAAAGTATATATAGACCTTGAGAAATTAAACATTCTGCCAATATTCTGGGCAGTATATATAAATTTTAAGGGAAAAATCTACCCTATCTTGTGGGAAATCCCAAGGACCAAGAGCTGATTCTGTTTAGAAGACTATTGAAGTGTTCATGAAATATCACAAAGTATCATTGACTGGCAGATACTCACTCCACCGTACAAAAACATAAATTTAAATTTTATAAATTGGTATTGGAATTGAAATTGCAGAATAATTTAGTTTTTGTTTCATTTTGGTAATAAAATTAATCTTTTAAATTTTTTTCTTCAATTATTTTGTTAAATTCTGCCTCTTAATGATTAATTCTTCAACTTAGCTTGGTTCTTGTACTCTCTCATTATTAAGGACTATATTTTGGTCAAATGCAGATTCTACATTTTCTACTGCATTTCTCTTTTTATATTATTTCCTTTTAGTCATTGTAATAAACCTCATTTTTGGTTATACAAATGGTAAATAAACATATTACTTTTGTAAAAATCCAAAGTATTATATACCAGCAGAAAATCTTTTTTGTCCTAGCCTGATTTTTGTTCTGTCTTTCTTCAAGGTACCTGTAGTATCTCATTTTCAAAATATGTCCTTTTCTCTGATTCATTTAGAAAATTAAGTTGGTATAGTTTTCTATTCATTGTATACACTCAGCTAGCTCTGTGTATGAAGTGAGCAACTTGTGTGTAGATGGATACATTTTGTATTATAAATATATAATCCTAATGCCTAGTGTAACATGCACAACAAACCTAAGAATTTATCATTGTCCTTGATATCAAAACTGTAAATATATTTATCTTAAGTACTAACTTGGTTTAAAAATAACAATAAGCCAAATTGTGATTGCCATGTGTTGATGCCAGACCCCTAAGGGCAAATAGTTATAAGAGCACTTTAAATCACATAAGCAAGGAAATAAAAGCTTGTTAAACAAAGTCATTAAGGCAAATGCCCACTCAATGCAGACACAGTAAGCCCCATAATAACTCTGCTAAATGTTATCTCTAAAGAAAGTTGTATTCATTGTGCTTAATTTACCTCAAATGCTTTTAAGAATAAACTGCTTTGTAGTGAGTTTATGCAATGTGGAAGGTAAATAGTCCTTGGAGAGCATATTGCAAGTTGTTATAAGAGACACATATCATTTTAAACTAAACCTTCAGCATCTGTTTCAGCCTCTGATTACAAATGATGAAACTGACAATAATTCACACTTACTCCATAAAAAGGAAAGGTGGTGATTAAGGAGGATGTGTAATCTTTATTCAATGTAAAGTACATCTGCTGTGTTTTTCCTTGTACCTGGCTATCTGTAAGAAAAGTTCTACCATCCCACCATAAAGGAAAGTGGTTCTTATGCTCACTGCGTATTTAATTCGGCTCCCATGCTTTCCTTCTCTGTATACCAAACCTGATATTTGTTTTCATCCTAAACCCAATAAATACACTCTAAAGAGTTTACCATTGTTAAACGTGGTTTTAAAACTTAGCTCCTGTCATAACCCACGTATGGGCTGTAAGAGATACTGCAACCTCCTGAGGAACGCTACCAAAGCTATTTTAATATGCTACTACGGCCACCATATGCTTTTTTCCAAGTCCAATGTTTTACATTTAGGCCAGTTTCAATCATAGCAGTGAGGTGCAACCTTTGTTCTCTAAGTCTTGGAATCATCTGGCAAATTCAAGAAGAATACAAAGGCCGGGGTCACATCCTGAGTATCCGACACAGATTTTCTAGGATGCAGCCTGAATATCAGCTCTTTTTAAAATAGCTAAGCTTGAAAACCACTAAATACATAGCAACTCTTTTTACTGGCTTCACTTGTGTCATTCATAAGAGATGTTTAATTTTAATCACTCAACTAATGTACCACAACCTGAATTTAGCCTAATATCTTCCTTTTCCCCTTTTCTTCAGACTCACCTAGACTTTCTTAGTTACAAGTCTTGTGACATCAGGTACTTTTCTTTACCTGCTAATTGTCTACACTACACCTAGTCATCTGAATAACAGATAGGTGGCAAGTTTATTAATTGTACAGGATTTACTATTTACGAATAATCTGGTAGAACAAAATTGCAATAGAATGTCAATATCAGTTTTGGCTATGATTTTAGTTTGCAAAATAGATAATACTGCTAATTCTAGACGAATATAGCCAGATATCTGCCTAAGAAGAAAGTATGTAAACTATTTTGCAAAGCCCTCAGTTGGCTTCAAAGGAAATCAAAGCAAGGAAAGAATGATGACTCACTAACAAATTGGTTCAATGAATTAACTTTTACATTGGTTCATTTGTTGGTTCCTTGAGTCTTCTGAAAATGCCTTTATTATGAATCATTTCTCTGTGCTTTGAGAAAACTGGAAGAGTCCTCTGACAAAGAATATATACTTATATATTATTTCTGCTATTTATTCATTGAATGGATACTTATTGCTTGTCTTGTATGTAAGACTCATTTCTAGCCATTTGCTAGACATGCATGAATAAGGTGTCCCTAGGGGGATCAAAATGTATCTGGAAATGTTTGTGTGTACATCTATAAGTCTAGCAGGGATTCTAAAATTAGACAAAAGATATCTAACAGAATATATATAACAGAATATGTTGGAAGTAGAAATAGATATGTGTGAATGTTTTTTAAAAGCATATGCAATATTGCATTCCATTATATTCATATATTTCAAAATTTTTAAGAAGTACAAAAAACATTGTATGCCATTGATAGGTTATAAGTACTAAAAGGGCAAGGAACATGGCTGTAATGCAAAATACCCATTCATTTAATGGGATAAAAACATAATAGGATGTGGAATAGAAATAAAGTGCATTGCTTTGGGATACGCAGTGAAGGCTTAACTAGGATGATGTTGCAAACTTATCTTAGAGATTTTGGCTAATCAGTGAAGTTTGTCTCATTGGGTAAACATGCAGTATCCCTTTTGTGACTAGTGGTATGTAGGGCTGATAACTATGTTCACTCTCTACCATCACACCAGGTGGCATATTACGATGAAAGCAAATCTTAGACCAAATTCTGTTGAATATCTGTACATTTACAGAAAAATAGGCACAGAACAGTGGCTTAGGCAAGTACCGCTCCTCTTACCTGCTGCCATCTCTAAGACATGTCTTGCTTTCCCTTCACCTTCTGCCATGATTGTGAGGCCTCCCCAGCCATGTGGAACTGGCAGTCAATTAAACCTCTTGCCTTCATATACAGGTACTGATCGACTTACGACCTATGCAACTTAGACCATTTGACTTTACGACCACAATCGCTAGCCATGACTGCTCCGCGTCTGGCAGCGCAAATGTTGCCCAACCGGGTGTACGACAGTGTGGACCAGCCTCTGGCAGCACTACCATCTCCACGTGCACCATTTCAACTGTACATATAGCCTACTCAACTTATGACCAAATCGTGTTACGACCCGTCTGCCGGTCCCAATCGTGGTCGTAAGTCAAGCACTAGCTGTATTATCCAGTCTGGAATATGTCTTTATTAGCAGCAGGAGAACAGACTAATACGGATTCCTTTATCAGCAATCCCTTAGGTGTTTGTTAAGAATGCATCTCTGGAGATAAGATCCAGGAATCTGCTCTTCAAATGACACAGTTTGTTGTCACCTGAGTTTCAGAACCAGTGGAAGCCCTAGAGATTGTTTAGGAGACGCTTTCACTAAGCCAAGCAAACAATGGTGACAGGAGTCTGAGTGAAGGAGGTAACAGTGAAAGTCAGGAAACATTCCATTTGAGAAATAGTTTTAAACTAATTGTTTTACCAAGTTTTTATCCTTGCTTCTATTGAAATAAATGTCCTGGTCTACAGAATTTCTGAGATACTATGGCTAAATATAATGGCACTTCTAATAATAAAAGTTATATCCAAAAAGAAACCGTTCAGCTCAGCAGTTTCTCCTTTCCTTCACTATGATCTGGTCCCTGTTAGGTGGGGCCTTTGGCCTTTGATCTGGAAGCTTATCAGTTGCAGTCGGCTCACAGAAGCTGCTAAGATATGAGACTGAGCTTTCCAGAGAGGCAGCTGACTATCAGATTTTAGTTTCCACAAGAAACAATGTGGCTATTTTCAGGATTGAAGTGAACCAAGTCTTACCCCTGAAGCACTGGAGATGCCTCAGGCAGTAGACCTCTGAATTGTTTATTAGTCTCAGATAAGGTGATATAAAGGATGGATTGTGAAAGGGCCTGCGAATTTTAATCCTAAAAGATCTCAGGTGTTTGCCCCTCAAAGCCAGTAAGAAAGTTGAGAGAGAACTCTCACTTCTGCTAGGCCCACAGGGAGATCCCTGAAGGATGCTCTTCATGAGTGACAGGCTTATTAGCAACGATGTGTTTTTTTTTCTTGAGGTGTTCTTTCACAAAGAAAGATGTCCAAACAGGATTCTGACATCCTCACCCTTTTCTTTTTCCACCTTATTTTATAAAAGTGCTTCCCATTCACCCAGATTTGTTATAAAGTAAGTCTCATATGTCTATAGATTGAAGAAATGCCTGAATGATATAAAGGCTATAATTTCTTCCTTTATCTTAAAATCTTTAAAACTGTAGTTGGGGAGGCAGGAAAAGGTGAGAAGACAGAGCACAGAAGATGTTTATGGCAGTGAAAATACCGTTCAGTATGATAACAGTGGCTACGTGTCATAAAAGTTTGCCCAAACCTATAGACTATATGACACCAAGAGTAAACCCAATGTAAACTATCGTGATTATGATTTGTCCTCTTGCCCAGTGGTTCTCAAACTTTAGCCTGCATCATATTCTGCTGAAGAGCCTTTCAAACACAGACCACTGAGTCTCAAGCTCAATAGGACTGGTGGGGGCTTGAACATTTTTGTTTCTAACAAGTTTCAGGTGATGCTGGTCATGCTTATCTGGTCCACAAATTGAGGACTACTGTCACCTGATGTGAGCTTACCCCTATTACATGCTTAGAACAAGACCACACAGCTGACAATGGGGGAAGGCAATGCTAAGAAAATGTTGTGCTACACAAACCTTTCAAGAAGTAAAATCACAAGATTCATACTTTCTACAATACAGGTATCTTTAGGTTAACCAAAATGTAGTGTGTACTTCATTTTGATGTTGGGAAAAAAGAGTATTTCAAAAGATAACTGTTTGGGTGAGGGTAACCAAAATCTCCTTGATGAATTAATTTGAGAAACAAGCTTTTATTTAATATATGCTCAATAGAAAAGAATTCAAATCTGAGCTATACAAAGAAAAAAAATTAGAAACAGAGTTTAGTAGCGACAATATTAGAAACCTTTTTGCCTAGAGGCAGAGTGTGGGCCTATTACCCTATAAAAGTTCCTTTCAGCTGGAAACGTGTATTTCCCAAGCTGACACGTTAGGAAATAAATCATTTTGTAAGGAGGCTAGTGTTGCCTAGAAACACTCTAAGATAAGATACCAGATTAATCAAAATTTAATTATCTCCCTCAGCTATCTTGGGTTTTTGTTATATTTTGTAGTTGACCAAATCTTAGGTTCAAATCTAAGACTCTAGTGATTTAAACCTATTACTAAGAAGAGGTAAGCCAAGAAGTAGCTGCCTATCCAAGTCAAGAGAGTATTTTTGCAAAACACAAATCTGCCAGTTCAAGCTACTTCCAACTGTATATGTGTGTTTGGTCAAACAGAAAAAGTGAATTCAAAAATGGAAAAAGACATGCTTGACTGGAGGGAAAGGTGTTATTTTTCCAATTGTTCTTCTTCTCAGCAGGAGAGATGTGAAGTTTGAATTTCAAATTAGTTTTACTGTCTTAAGGCAAATATCAACACACAGTTCTGACCGAGGAAAGACAGGGACCCTCCACATATTAGTTGGGTGCCTAATGATACTGCCTCAGAGGACTGTGGTCTTATACATTTTCATAGCAATCCCGTGAGATGGTTATTATTATTTCACTTTCACAGATAGGAAACTGAACCTTCAGAGGCTAGTAACTGCCTGGTGCCACCTAGAAAAAAGTGCCAGAGGAGTAATTTGAGTCCAGATCTATGCGGCTATACATCCAAGGCTCTTGACATTATACCATGCCCAAGATCTATCCAAGGTTCTATTTATTTACCCTGAAGAAGTGGGATTGAAATGTGCACAAGCAGTCTGCTTAAAGCAGCAACAGCAACTCACCCTGCCCTACCTTCTCACTTGGAGAGCTTTCCTTCTCCCACTTTATGTTCTGAACTACATGGATTCTGGGAATTTAATTACCTGCTTTCAACCTAACTTTTTCACTGACATCTTCCCTCAGGTTTTGGCCATTATTTTTTCCTAAATGCAATAAAATGTTTTTATTTTAATATTGCCATAGTGAAATGCAAAATATAAATGGCTTTGTATCAGTCCGTTTCCGTTGCTATAAAGGAATACCTGAGCCTAGGTAATTTATAAAGAAAAGAAGTTTAGTTTGCTCACAGTTCTGCAGGCTGCACAGGAAGCTTAGTACCAGCATCTGCTCCAGTGAGGGCTTAAGGAAGCTACAGTCATGGTAGAAGGCGAAAGGAAGCCAGCATGTCACATGGCAAGGGCAGGCGAGAGAGAGAAAGGAGGAAGTTCCAGAATCTTTTAAACTACCAGATCTCATGTGAACTCAGAGTGAGAACTCACTTACTAATCCCAGGATAGCACCAAGCTATTCATGAGGGATCCGCCCCATGAATCTAAAACCTCCCACCATGCCCCACCTGCCACATTGGAGACCACATTTCAACATGATATTTGCAGAGGACAAAGTATCTAAAACCTATCAGGAATTTTTTAAATAGATGTGGGAAGCTGCAAGATAATTTTTTAAAAAGTCTGAACTTCAAAATACAAACTTAGCTCAGCAAAATTTTAAAGTTGGGGAACAATGAGCAGGGAAAGAAGAAAAGTGGGGACATAGAATAAGAAGAAGATTTTAATGTTGAATCAAATCTGAATATCTAGCAATGAATGTTATGTATATCTAGTTGAGCCTTCATTAAAGAGACTTAAAGTGACCTTAAGTTCAAGCTGTGAAAGAAAATATTATGGATCCCCTAAATCACTAAGGAAACTCAAGTTGGAAACTGTTTAGGGAAAACCTGCCTCCCATTCTGTTCAAAGTCAGTCATGCCTCTGCTCAGAGAGGTAGATGCATATCTGATTTGCCTCCTTTAGAAAGGCTAATCATAATCACAAAAGAATGTTACTGTTTGTGACACCTATCTGTGATGCTCCCTCCCAGCTTGAGTCTTTCGGACTTTGCTTCAAGTTGTCTGGCTTTCGAGACTGAACCAATGTACTTCTTACATACATTGATTGATATCTCATGTCTCCCTAAAATGTATGAAACCAAACTGTGCCATGACCACCCTGGGCAATGTCGTCAGGACTTCCTGAGTCTGTGACATGGGTTCATCCTCAACCTTGGCAAAATAAACTTTCTAAATTAACTGAGACCTGGCCAAGTGTGGTGGCTCATGCCTGTAATCCCAGCGCTTTGGGAGGCTAAGACCAATGGATCACCTGAGATCTGGAGTTCAGTATCAACCTAACCAACATGGTGAAACCTTGTCTCTGCTAAGAATACAAAATTAGTCAGGCCTGGTGGCACATGCCTGTAATCCCAGCTACTCCAAAGGCTGATGCAGGAGAATTGCTTTAACCCAGGAAGCAGAGGTTGCAGTGAGCCAAGATTGCGCCATCACATTCTAGCCTGAGCAACAAGAGTGAAACTCTGTCTTAAATAATAATAATAATAATTAATTAACTGAGGCCTGTCTCAGATTTTCTGGATTCACAATGCCCAGGAGCAAGGAAAGATTAAACACCTTAAATAAATATTAAAGCATGAAACAAGAGACAAAAAGCAAAGTTTGTTCAATTAGGTATGTCATTAATCATAATTGTTCAATATTCTGATTGTATCTGAAAAAAGGCATTAGAAAAAAATAGTGGTCATGACCTGTTGTCAATGTAATGAATAGTTTTAACTAAGTATGATAGTTAAACTAAGTAACATAGTTAAACTAAGTAACATGGTTAACTAAGTAACTTAGTAACTAAGTAACATAGTTTTAACTACTTAATGGAGTAACTGCAGCTGGATTCCCTAGTTCCCATGAAGTAGGAACAGCCTGAAGAAACAGACCTCTCAGACACTAAACTAGGAAGGAAGGGTTGATTTATTCGGCCCAGAGAAAGGCGACATAGTTATCTAACAGCCAGGCTTGCTAACAAAGAGAAGCTCTGCCTTTATATAGGCTTACAACTCTAGATATTACACGTGAAAGGGTCTTGGTTTTACAGTTTCAGAAATTACATGTGAAAGGGTCTTGGTCTGGATGGAATAGGCACGGGGTGGGGTATTTTAAGTAAAAACTATGCCTTCCAGAAAGATTCCCCCATACCATGCCTGCTATCTATAGGAGGGCTATTAAGATGGCTCCTGGTCAGCCAGTGCTTG